TGCGCGCCTGTCCCTAATAGTCGGCTTCAAGAGCTTCAAGCACACGTAGCCATCGACGGCGCAGGCCGTTGCCTCACCGCGCCAATACCCTGGAAGATCCACGCACCCGCTCGGGGCAAGGCATCTGCAGGTCTGCCACGTGTCGCAACTGCGCTGACGAAAACTCAACATGCGACACCCACCACTCCTCCGCCCAGGTATCCTCCTCCTTCGCCTCATCCGTTGCCTTGGGCGAGAGCGCCCGGCAACTGCCAAACTAGAATCGATGTCGAGAGTCCTCAGGATGTGAAAGGCGAGAACCGGCAGAGACAAGACAAGCATGTATGCACGAGAGAGCTGACTCACTGACTGGATGAAGCCTTGCGTCAAGAAAACCTGTGGTCAAGATTGCACACTGGCAACCAGGGAAGCACAACTACACCACAGACCCAGGCTAGTCACAGCAGGCGGGAACAACTGGTGATAAAATGCAAATGTCGTCACGCCACGCTCCGACGATAACAAAAGATCGAGTGCTTCTCCGGTATTCCCAAGGCCGTGCACGGCGACAACAAAAGTCGAAAACCGACAGAACCGACGGCGAAACCGAAACAGACCGAAATCAACAGGCCGAAAGCAGCCTAGAAGGGCGCAGCGACGCGTCAACGACAAGTACTGACCGAACCGAACCGACCGAACGCAGCCGACTGCGACGCAACCAAACCGACCGAACCGCGAACACCCTTGAAGCCCCTCCAGATGCCCCGCGATAACCCTCAGGGGGCCTCCCAGAGACCCCCGAGGGGCAGCCCACGAGCCCCCAGGAGGCATCCAAGAAGCCTCTGGCCCATAACCAAAGCACGGTGGCGGCGAGACGCACCGAGGGCCACTGATTTCGATCCTGCCCAGGAGCAGAAAAGACGGTCGTGGACGCCGCCTTGCCCCCTGACGCCCCTGGAGCCCTTGGCATGGGCGGCCCCCGGTCGCCCCCTTGCCTCCCGACCCCATGGTGTCCCCTGGGGCAGACTGTCCCCGGCTGTCTCCTTGCCTCCGGCGATGGGAACTTCCGTTCTATGGACCCAGGCGACGGCATCCGAACCCTACCCCCCACCGACCATGGATCCTCCCAAATCGATGAGAGGCGGGGGCAGGGCTTGGACTTCGCCGCGTCTTCGACGAACTCCGAACCCCACCCCCGCCGCCCCTCGAGCTGCTGAAGCGCACATCGGCGAGGGTCGGGCCGCCGAGGACGGCCCCTGACTACTTCTTGCCCCCGTCGCTGGAGCTCTCCCGGTGCTCGTCTTCCGCCGCTGTGAGTTTCCGCCGTTCGGCCGTCTCCGCCCGCTCCTGGCCCTGAGATGTTCTGCAGCTGGGCTTTTTTTTCTGATCCGCACCATGCTTCTGTGGTAACTTCTGGGGGCCTCCCATATTGCTGGCTCGTGCGAATCGACGCAAATCGACACGAATCAACGCTACATCGGCACGATCTCATTGACTACCAGACGCTAGTCGACCCTCATGCTCTATGAAGACGGGATTGCGCGAGGGTATACAAGCCTCCGATGAGTTGCTACCGAACCCTGCACTTGTTACTGCTGTCCGCAGCTGGGAGTTGCCGTTTTTCGGCCATGTCCCTGGTCGTCCCCGACCTCAGCGCTTGTTCTCCAACTCAGACAGCGTGGATCTGGCCTGTCCCTGGCTAGCCAGGCCTTGTGCTTGCACTAGCTGTGTACTGTTCTTTTCAATGTGCAAATGCAAGCAAGGTGCGAGTAGATGTTCAGGAGCTGTCTCACTTTGTGGGTCCACGCGCTTGCATCATGGTTGCGTGCCAACACATCCCATTATGTTCCCTCCCACTCCAGTGCGCTCCGCTCCGCTACACTACGTTCACAAGACAGTACATATCGAAGAGAACTCCCGTCGCTGTCTGCCAGCAGCGACTTTATGGCGCAAGCCTTCCAGATACTTGGGACTGTCGTTCAACACAGTCAGCACCTCGGACAACCATGCTGCTCGGGCGCATATCTGAAGGGGCCCAGGGACACACAAATAAACAGGGACAAGTCCCAGGAATCCCCTTATGTTCCATATTTCCTGGAGGTTCGTCTTCCCCTACACTTCCCTGTTTCCCATGTCTTCCTGGGAATCGACAACTATTTGTCTCTGTGCTGTTTCCCCTCCCGAGCATCGAGGAAAGCTGCCCCCCGCGGCACTTCTGGCCGCGGGGGCAGGCAAGACCACCCCCTTGAGCACCGGGATCAAAGCAAAGCCTGGTTCTTGCCATCGCTTGGACGTCCATTCCCCCTGCATTTGTCGGTTTCGGGTGTCTGTCTTCTCGAGAGATGGCACAAGATGCTCCACGATGTCCCCCACCGAGAGAAACGCACACGTCCGAGCGATGCCAAGGATTCGTCGCAAGCAGAAGAGTCAGAAATCGATTCGAAGCCTCGTGGGAAGCGGAGGGGTATGACGAAGCTAGGCCGAGGATGAAATCGAGTGAAGATAGATCGAGAATCTCTGGGATCCTGCGGCTCTGGAGGATGACTCTGACGCCGCGGCCTTCTCGGAGCGTTCCGGAACGCTCTCAGAGCATTCCAGAACGATCTGGACCGGATCTGTCCTCGTCCTAGCCCCGTCCGAGGACGGCGGGGGTTGGAGGGAAAGGACAAAGACAAACTAGGTCTCTCGCGAAACAAATGACATCCCATCCCTCCTTCCCATCCCTTCCCACGGCGCTGCTTTTTCTCTGCCCGCAGACGCGTGTCATAGCCGACCTGGAAATCCATCACCCCAGCAAAGCACCCTAATAGCAGCAAAGGTGACCTGTGGGACCTGAGCGGCAAGTGGGAATTGTGGGACTTGTTCGATCTGTGGCACCTGTGGAACCTGTGTCTTCTGTGGCCCGTGGTACGTGTGGGACATAAAAGACCTGTGGGGCAGGTGTGAACTGTAGACTTGTGGGACCTGTGGGACCTGCGGGACTAGTGGCCTGTGGGACCTAGGGGACCTCTGTGGCCTGTGGGGGCTGTAAGACCTGCGACACCTGTGGCCCTGTGGGGATTGAGGGACCTGTGAGACCTGCGAGATCTGTAAGGCCTGTGGGGCCTATGGCACTGGCGCAACCTGTGGGACCTCGGAGACCTCTGTGAGACCTGTGAGACATGCGACACCTGTGGGACGACCTGTGGGACCTGTGGGACCTGCGAGACATGCGAGGCCTGTGGGACCTGTGGAACCTGTCAGACCTGCGGGACGGCCTGCGACACCTATGGGTCTTGTGGGACCTGTGGGACCCGTGGGGCCTGCGAGAGCTGCGAGACCCGTGGGTTCAAGAAAAGGAGCGCCACTCTGAACGGCGGGAGCACAGCGCCGATCCGAAAATGGGGCCCACGCTGCAGCGAGAGCACCATTTCTGAAACACCGAAAACAATCGGAGGCTTAAAACATATAGAACACATCACATGTTGGAACCCTGTGTGAAAAGCAGTACGCGGAGAGGGCCCACTACCCCCAGACAGAATCAGGAGAGAGAGAGAGAGAGAGAGAGATGAGAAGCAGTACTTGTATTGTGAAATTGTGGAGGAGCAACATGCCGCTTCAAGGTCACGCAGGACCTCCACCTGCACCTGTGCATGGACCTACTGGAGCTACACGGGGCGTCGGACATTCCGTGTCGCGGCTACGTGTCCATAGTCTCGGACAATCCCATCGAGGTCCCCATGGCTCGCGAAGAACACTGCGCCACCACTCTACCCAACTCTGCGCCCAGATCAATCGAAGGAGACGTGCTGGTTGAATGCTCGCCGCATCTCCAATGGGATACCACCACCACTTGGGAATAATCCACGAGGCAGGGAGGAGGAAGAAAACGAGGAGGAGAAAGGATGGAGGAAGGAGGAAGGAGGAGTGAGTGAGTAAGTGATGGAGACCACGGTGCTCTAGTCAAAACGATAAATCAACCAAGGGAGGGCTGGAAACATATCAAACAACAACAACACCAACAACAACAACAACAACAACAAGAAAAACAAACAGACACGCAAACTTGCGCGGCGCAGAACACGACTGCAACGCTGCATCGGCGCCTGTCCGCGCGACCCCCTCACAGGAATGCATGGCCAATCAAGGCTAATCGGCCTTCGTAGTCGCAACGCCACACACATATGGAAGAACGATGTTCCAACTTTCCCCTGTTCGATTCTCAAGTTGGCGTTTACTGCAATACTAAAATGGCTTCTCTTCTCAAGGGAATGGAAGCCATTACGTACAACATTAGCTGTTCAAGCAAACGCCGAAAGGAGACCCAACAAGTTAACACGAATGATGGCACAAAGAAGAACACACATGGTGATACGAAAAGATGCTCCCCTGTGAAAGATTAGTCGGAAGCGACCCCCGACGGTCCGTCGCGGCAACTCGACCTGAATGCCTTTTCGTGGGTGCTTTTCCTGGCGATGGCACTGGCGCCTCCGCGGGCGTGGGAAATTGGAAGGATGCGCGCGCTGGCATGGAGACCCTAAACAGCAATGTTTTTTTTGAAAAAGGTGGAAAGACAACCGAAAGGCGCCGACTACGCGCGCCCACTCATCTGCAAGCTGCATGCAAACATCGACCGATGCCTAAGCTCACTGCAACAGGCGAACTATCAATCGGCCAGATGATCATTATCACTCGCTCAGAAACGCAATCTGCAGTTTCTTTTCACGGGCCGATTCTTTGTTCGCTCGAAGCAAAAATAGTTTTTGTGTTCGCTCCCTCTCCGTGAGCAGGGAATGCAGAGCCTGTCAAACATAATGAGAGGAGCCTGACTCATCCTGCCTCGGCCACCCCCTTGCACTCTCGCCTCCTGCCCGCACTGGCCCGGAGGCCAAGCCCCACCCCAACCCGTAGCAAATCTACAGAAGGGATGCTGAAGTAAGACACGGCTCTGGCAGCCACAACACTTCGTGTGAAGTGCTGCGTAGGCGCAGAGGGGCCCATCTGCCGCCATCGAGGCCGCTCGGGTCTGACTCGTCCAAGTCACCGTCGCAGTGTCGTCTGTAGTACAGTTGGCCTGCTGAAATAAGGAACGAAACATGTAAGGAGCGAAGCCCATTTCTGGGCGCCAGCAGCGCCTGGGTGCATGAGGAGCGCCAGAGAACCAACCACGGAATGATTTAAGGAACATCGAGCCCCTTCCGAACCTAAAGCGGTCCTTCTCTCAACGTCTTGACTGCAGGAAGTGCCCCCGAGCGCCCACAGAGCGCCGCAAGGGTGGGTCCGACACCAACCCTCACGGCGCTCCGCTTCCCGGGGATGCGCCGCTGGAGCCTGCGCCGGAGGCGCCGAAGATGCTCGGGTCGACGACCAGCCCGGGGGGGAAGTTTAGGGTTTCGAGAATGGAGGTTTTCGGACGTCGTCGTCATCGGTTCTCGGGGGTTTTCCGGCCTCCAGATGCGCTCCAGCCACTGCGCCTCACTGAGAGAGTTCCAGGGGTGCCCAGCTCGTCCCGAACGGCTACTGGAGAGCCGAGTTATGACCGAAAAAACACCAGGGCTCGGAAGGCCTCGAGCCTTTCGAACACTTCACTGAGCCTTCCCGAAGGCACAGAGCACTTCTCGGAAGGCCGGGGTTCTTCTGAGAAGCCCCGCCGCCTTCTGAGAAGGCCTTCTCCTTCTCACTCCCCCCCTTCGCTCGCCGCCGACCTAGATCACTCCCGCGACAGATCTGCGCGGCCAGGTCCAGCTGCAAGGACATCGGTGGCCAGATCAGCATCTTGGCTCCAACATGGTTCCCCGATGCGGCCCACTCCTGCCGTGTCGGCGTGGACGTTGGTTTCTGACACGGCGTGGTATCCACCTTCAGCGATCTGCGCTCGCGGAGGTCCCCACAACCTCTCGGCCCCACCCTTCGTATGGATTTTGCGCCGCGTGCTGTTTTCTGCGGGTCCTGGGGCCTGAAACGGGTCCCCTGGGGTGTATGGAAACTTGAACGCCCGCTCCAGCGTCGCTGCTGCGTCCACGCGGTGTGATCTATCCTCAAGCTGGCGCATGCCCCTCAACTAGGAGAGGCTCCTTGAACACCGTGGGGGGGTCGAAGAAGAGCAGCAACAGGCCCGCGACGTAGCCCATCGACTGCTGGTAATCACCGAAGTGGCGCGGAAGATCGACGGGATGATCGGCGGAGGTGAAAAAATGGAGGAATTTGTCGAAGAAAGCCTCCAGGAGTGGAGCAAGACGACGACGATGACGACCGCGAGAGGAAGACGGTGGAGGAGAAACCATAGGGCCGGTCTGGCCTCTCGCCCGCCTGCCGACCAGTGGGCCCTCGGGACTGCCATTAGCCCGCATGGCCCGCCGCCACGTGATGGCGGCTTGGCGGCCGCTCACGCCAGTAATGTAGGACGAAGAGGGCTACAGTAGGGTCTACGAGACGAATCCAGCGTTGAGGAAGTAGCGCGCCTTGGGGCGTCAAACATGCTACTGTACATGAGGCAACACGGCATGCAAATGCAATGAGCGGACGCGACATACTTCATCAGGGGGCTGCGTAACAAGCAGCTGGACCCGTCCAACTGCCACACGGAGCACGGATAGAGCATCGACAACAGCAATGAGTGCGACGGCAAGTGGAGAACATGTGATCGCAAGCACGGCACCAAATGCGAGGAGCATGGCAAAAACGTCAATTACGAAAACGGCCGAGACAACTCCTACGGTGGGTGCGACCTCGGCCATAACGCCTTCGACCGCAAATACAAGTTCGAACATGTCTGTTACGGGCATGGGGCCGCAGGTAGGCATCCACGTCCCCTTGGCTGCCAGCAACAACAGCTACGAGAACTCTGACCGCTGGGAGGTACCCCAGTTCCAGCCTACGAACGACGACAACGACAGATACGACCACGGTCAATACAGCTACCACTGCGAGGACCACTGGTCGATCACAATACTCAGGACCAGCACGTTGACGACGAGAGAAAACGCAAGCTTCGGTGTCAACTCCCCACAGCTTTTTGAAATGCTTCACCCCCTCTGGCGCAGCAACAAGCACGACAGCAGAGAGTACCATGTTCCTCGTGTTGTAGCTCACACCATTCCTCACGACCCACGTGCGTGAGTGCACGAGGCACGTGCTGGACCTCACGATATGCGAGGTCAACCTTACTGGAGGAGCATGAAACAGTATGAACGTAAGCTTGTGGAAGTCCGCGCGGAATTCCTAAAATGTATGTGAATGCAAAAAAATTCTCTTCGACATGCTATCCCCATGCCGAACCTCACGCTCTGCGTACGGAACCTCACGATCTCCGTGCAAAGGCCCCACTGTCTACGTGTTATACCTCACGATCCCCGCTTGGAGCCCCGCGAGCTTCGCGCCGGACCTCACGGATGGAAAGGCCGAGGAGGCCGGGAAGGCGGAGGATATCTGAAGAGTCGAGGCGGCCATGAGAACCGAGGAACACACGATCCAGAAACCTCACGTTCTCCGTGCCGGACCTCACGATCCGAGAACTGAACCTCACGATCTCCATGCCACATTTCACGATCCGCGTACGATCCCCGTGCTGAACCTCACGGGTCGTGTGGGCACCCGACGCTGGGAAGATAACTACGCTGCGACTGGCCAACATGAATCGGCGGCGAGCCTCGGGGGGAAGTGAGAATGGGCGGGCCTTCTCAGAAGGCTGGGAAGGCCTCGGGCCTTCTAAGAATTGTTTGAAGCCTTCCCTGGAGACACAGAAAATTTCTCAGAAGGCGCAGCGCTTATGAGAAGCCCCGCCGCCTTTTGAGAAGACCTCCTCCCTCTCAGGCGCCTGGTTGTTTTGCGGTCATAATTCGACACTCCGGCGGCCGTTCGGGACGATCTGGGCAGCCCTGGAACGCTCTCAGCGAGGCGAAGCCGCTGGAACGCATCCCGGGGCTAGAAGGCCGCCGAGAACCGACGAAGATGACCGAAAACCTCGAACCTGGAGCCCGAAGCGAATCCCCCCCCAGACGCGCCGCCGAACGGTGCGACTGGCCAACCTGAAGCTAGAGAATGCGATGCGATGCGACCTCCGTTGCGGACAGTGTCCATGCCTAGCTCAGACCAGGTGGGTGAGGCCGTGGCCTCGAGAATCTGGGTTGTCTGGATACATGCAATGCGAGACACATAACGACGGCCTGAGGAGGAGGAGGAGGAGGAGGAGGAGGAGGAGGAGGAGGGGAAGGAGGAGAGGAGGAGGAGGAAGGAGGAGGAGGAGGAGGGAGGAAGAGGACGAGGGGAGGAGGAGGAGGAGGGAGGAGGAGGAGGAGGAGGAGGAGGAGGAGGAGGAGGAGGAAGGAGGGGAAGGAGGAGGAGGAGGAGGAGAAGGAGGAGGAGGAGGAGCAGGTGCAGAAGGAGGAGAGGACGAGGACGAGGACGAGGACGAGGAGGAGGAGGAGGAGGAGGAGGAGGAAGAGGAGAGGGAGGAGAAGGAGAGGGTGGATGAGAAGGACGATGAGGAGGGGAGGCGAAGGGGGGACGGAGTAGGGGAGGAGCAGGGGAGGGAGGGAGGCGAGAACGAGACAAGCAACAAGTTAGGAGAATATCTCCACGAGGTTCACTGGGGACGTCTTCTACGGCAGCTCCCGCGGGATGCACGGCACCAGCCGAGCGGCCAGGCCAGTCCTCGACCCTTCGAATCGATAAGTCGTCACCTGCCCCCGCGCAGAGTAAAAAAGGAAACACCTCGAGTAGGAGATCGACTACACAATTGATTTACCTCGAAATCGTTTTTCCTCGTCGACTCCATATGACAGTTGTAGAAGTTTCGTGGATCTACGAGCATTCGACATATTTTTGCGTGACTCAACCCCACAAGATCAAGCTTGAGGCAAATAGATTATGTAGTCGATCTCCTACTCGATACCTGGAGGTGGCGCGCAGGTGCCCGCAGCTGCGGATGCATGAGCTCCCTCGAGAGCGCCCCTGGTCCGACGGCCAGAAAGCCCAAAAACCTGGGTCCCTCAAGCCTCGAACCTCCCTTTTCGCCTCCTCCATCAGGCAGGAGAGCCCGAAATCGAATCGGTAAGACGGATCGGTGATCGGAATGAATCGGATCGGCTGAAATCGGCAGCCGAGTCGGGAGAAATTAAATCGGCGGAAATCGGCAGGCTTGGTTGAGAAGTCGGAATCCGAAATCCGCGGCCAAATCAGAAGCCATCGAAATCGAATCGAATAGATTCGGAGTCGACAGCCCTGTGACAGCGCGCTTCAAGGAATTCTTGGCGACCGGGCCCCCTGCCACAACCCCAGAGAAGTCCGCGTGCAGGCGAACCCCGTCCTGGAGCCCGACGTCCCGATCACCGGCCCGTCAGCGGGAAGGCCCTGCGCGCGGCAGCGCCAGCGGCCCAGGCTGCCCCAGCCACGCCCTTCTGGCCTGCAGCGCCGTCTCGGTGGCCAGCCTGTCGGCACCCTGAACCTTCGCGTCCTGCTCAATACTCCTGCTTGCCTGCCGCAGTGTCCTCTGCCACCTGAACTGGTGCTGAACCTGGGCAGCGCCTCCTCTGCAGCCGCCGAACTTGGAGCTCCCCCACATCCACTGACGGTGGCGGGCAAAAGGCGGCAACATCACCCTCGCTGGACTCCATCTTGTGTTTTTTCTTGCTATCTTGCGCGCAATCAGTGGTTTCCTCCGTTGGTCCAAATATGTTTGCTTACTTTTCCTATCCAGTCTCCTGTCTGCGCTTGGCCGCCGTCTCCATGACCTGCTGCGCACCATCCTCAACCTGGCTGCTGGCGCGCCTCTGGGCGCCCTGCACCAAGGCGCGCCAGGGTTCCTTTCAGGGAAGTGGCCGCGAGGCGAAATCCTAAAGTTAGCCCTCACAGACCCCGATGCCTCACGCCTGCAGGAGCCTCTGCTACCGACCTCGCGCTCCAAACTGCCCGTCGCCTGCTTCGCGAGGTGGACCGCGCCCGCCGCTGCAACTTTTTTGGTCAGCGGCCGCGGACAGGCGGCGTTCGAGCAGCGGCGGGCCGGAGAGGCATGGGAGGCGAGGGAGCCACACTCAGGCCCGGAAAGTCTTCGTGGGCGCTCCGAGGTGCAAGTCGAATCCACCGCTGCCACGCGTTGCGACCTTGCGCCTGGACGTCGTGTCGGCGGCGCTGTGCTGCTCGCCGAGCGTCGCCCAGCCGCTCGGCAGCCGCGAGGACCGCTCTGGGCCCCGCGACGCCTGCCGCCCCAGCGGCCACTTGGGCCCCACGCCAGCCAGCACTCCGCGAACAGCTCACGGCGCTGCATTGGCCTCTCCTTCGGAGCGGCGAATGAAGACCTCCCAGAGTCGGAGCCCGCCAGTGAAGACCTTACAACTGGAGCCCCCCTTAATGCAGGGACCCTGTACGAATTCTAAATTATTATTGGCATGCTCTAAATGAGTGTACAATGTACCTCCAATTACGGGACGTCACCATTGACATCGCCTTGGAGGCGGCACATGCGGACATTACGTGAATGGGCCTCTACTTCCGAGGGGTCACCAGTGGCCTCTCATGAGGAGCGGTGCATGAAGACCTCCAGCACAAGTCCACCAATGGAAAACCCCTTAAGTGGAACCCACCGATGGAGGGCTCGCGTACTTGGAGTCGATGGACGGGGGTCGTAAATTTGAGCGCGTCACTGGAAGGCTCCAGTATTTGGAAACCATTAGAGGGCCCCCGTCATGGGAGATATCCCACATTGGGAGCCCAACCGCGAAAGGCTCCCGCAAGAGGAAGTACACGAGTGGAGGGCTCCCGCAATCAGAACCCATTTCTAAAAAGATCCTGTACTTCGAGCCCCACCAAAGGGATGCTCCCATAGTAGGACCCCAATTGTTTCAATTGGGGGAGGTCTTGCATAGCCAAGTCACACAGGATGACGAATGAGGGGGCGACGCGGGGAGGGGGAGACGTGACGATGGAGTGGTGTAGGACGGGGGCCGTATGCGCCAGGTTCCTGGCAGGGGGAAACGATCGTGGAGAGGATAGACGCCCAGGGGGATGCAACCAGCGGCAAGCGGGGGGTTCAGGAACGGCAAAGCGGTTGACCCTGTGGGGGCTCTGGGTACGCCTCAGGCCAATCGAAGCATCCACGCGCGACGAAGAAGGAGGGCGACGAACGATGCCAGGAAAAGATAGCAAGGCTGGAAGAGTTCAGATGGGAGATACGAGGCAATGCCACGGCACCAAACTTTGTTTGCGCAAAGAACAACAACTTGATCATGAGCACGCGGTTCGGCTCACTCCTGCGGCCCAGACATGGCTCCTGTTCCCTCCTGGACTCCGTTTCCCCAGCACTCGCCATCTTAATCCTCCTCACCCTCCTCATCTGCAGCATCAGTATCAGCATTAGTATCAGCACCAGCATCAGCATCAGCATCATCAACATCCTCATCCGCATCCTCATCCTCATCCTCGTCCTCATCCTCATCAGCATCATCAGCATCCACCTCATCATCATCATCATCATCATCATCATCATCAGCATCGTCATCATCATCATCATCATCATCATCATCATCATCATCATCATCATCATAATCATCTTCATCATCATCATCATCATCATCCTCATCCTCACCATCATCATCATCCTCATCCTCATCCTCATCCTCATCATCAGGATCAGCATCACCACCATCATCACCATCCCACTCTTGGCTCCACATGCTCTCCCTAGCCCATCCCTCCTGGTATGCTCTCTCTCTCTCACGGCGCACGTCTCCTCCTCCTCCTCCTCCTCATCCTCCTCCTCCTCCTACCCCTCATCATCATCATCATCATCCTCATCATCATCATCATCATCCTCATCATCATCCTCATCCTCATCCTCATCCTCATCCTCATCCTCATCCTCATCCTCATCCTCATCATCATCATCATCATCATCATCCACCATCTCGACCTCCACCTCCACGTCCTCTTCCCTTTTCCTCCAACCCCCTCAACAAGTGTGGAACCACACCAGTGGAAGCGTTTTGCCTATGATCGGCACACGCTCATGTACAACGCTGCTGCGACGCACTGTTCCGTAAGACAATGATGCGAGTGTTCCATGGTTGGGCTCGCATCCGTGGTGCCTCACATAGTCCTAGCATGCTTGCACATGTTGACAACAATCGCAATCGCGTTTCCAACGTTGGTGGCTCTGTATTGCAGAATGAACTGACGTAGTCACGGTGTGCGCGGTGCCCACAGGTCCCAGAATTCCCGGTTGGTGTCATCGGTTTCTCCGAATGGTGATTGCTGTATGCTACCGCTGGACGCACTCGTATGTATCTGAACACTGGGCCCACCTCGGCAATGAGGTTTTGCAATCGAGCTCGCGTGGCGACTTCTCCCTGGGAGGGGGGTCAGTGCCACTCTGGAAACTCAATGGTGATGGTCGGCTGGCGTCGATAAGAAAAGCTGCTCCCTCTCTCTCTCTCTTTCTCTCTCTCCCTCGCTCTTCATCGCACTGTGAATTTCTGTCGCTATGTCGCACTCTCTCTCTCTCTCTATTTCTCGCTCTTCCTGCCCTTGCTTGACTTCACCTGGCGGCTGCGCTCACCCCATTTCGCCCTCATCCCGTGCTGTGGTGCACGCCGACAAACCAAGAGAGCAGGCGAAGAGGATGCGTTGGAGAAGCATGGGGGACTACCGCACCCTTGGCACAATATGGCCGACAGAGACCCCCAGCACTGAGATCCCTTGGGCCAAAAACATTAAAACCAAACTGCGTCGTCGATGCCGCTTGACTCCGATGCTGCTCTGCATTTTACAGCTTCATGAAGACTCCAAATGCTCCCAAGGACCTAGAGGGGCGAACAACCCTGGACGGCCCGAGAAGAATCGGAAGACAATCCGAGGATCACTGAATACGGCCCAATGCTACCCAACTCAGCCCCAAGACGGCCCAAACATCCGACAAGACTTCATCGAGATGGCTACACCTCGCCTCTTGCGGAGAGCTCGGTAGAAGCATCGGGCCCATGACGGCCCCAAGAGACCAAGCAGGCCTTCAAGAGACCAAGAGGCCTCTGAGGAGCTCTCAAGAGCCCCCGATCGTGCCTCAAGAGGTCCCTGCAAAAACAAACACATCCCACAATAAACCCTGACGGGACAGCGTACGTAACCATACTGCACGCACGTCGACGTTGCACTGGCACAATTGCAAAGCAAGCTGCAAGCAGCTGGGTATGAGCTTACTGCTGCACGCACGCCTAAATTGGTGCCTGCTCGTCTCGACTGGCACCACAGTTTGGCAATGTCTGAGCGCTACCACAGCTAGTACACTCGGAGCCGATTGGAGAAAACACGCGAGAGGGCCACGTTGCCATGGGCATGCAGAGAAAGCATGGGTCGCGAACCACAGGACACAGACGGGTACCCTTGACTTGGCAGGGTCGACCTACTGATCAGCCTCGGCGTGTGCCCGCCGCCGTGCCACGGACACGCCGAAGCATGCTACTAAAGGAGCCCAAGGACACACGTAAATGTACGTATGTATGTACGTGTGTACGTATGTATGTATGTATGTATGTATGTATGTATGTATGTATGCATGCATGCATGCACGCATGCATGTATGCATGTATGTAGGTAGGTAGGTAGGTAGGTAGGTAGGTAGGTATGTACGTACGTACGTACGTATGCATGCATGCATGCATGCATGCATGTATGTATGTATGTATGTATGTGTATGTATGTATGTATGTATGTATGTATGGGCCGCAGCACCCACCATGAACCCCCCTTTTCCCTTGGAAGATGCCAAGAAAAAAGGGGGGCGGGGGCGGTTGGAGTTTCGGGTGTCGCGTCGTGTTGTGGTGGTAGGATCTGGAGTACATGTGTGTGTTGGAGACGGAGGGAGCCTGTTGAGTATCGGGTGTTGTGTTGGAGAAGGAGGCTGTTGAGTACTGGGTGTTGTGTTGGAGACGGAGGGAGTTGAGTAGAAGGTTCTTTTCAAGTTCAGCTTGGGGAGGGAGCCTGTTGAGTATCGGGTGTTGTGTTGGAGAAGGAGGCTGTTGAGTACTGGGTGTTGTGTTGGAGACGGAGGGAGTTGAGTAGAAGGTTCTTTTCAAGTTCAGCTTGGGGAGGGAGCCTGTTGAGTATCGGGTGTTGTGTTGGAGAAGGAGGCTGTTGAGTACTGGGTGTTGTGTTGGAGACGGAGGGAGTTGAGTAGAAGGGAGCCCAAAAAGTCTTCCAAAAAAGAGCCTCAAAAGTGAGTCCGAAAATCGTAGGAATCATATATAAATTCATATATAATCATGAGAAAGGGGGGTTATTGGTGGGTGCACAGGGCTATGTATGTATGTATGTATGTATGTATGTATGTATGTATGTATGTATGTATGTATGTGTGTATATGTAGTGTGTGTACGTATGTATGTATGTATGTATGTATGTGTGTATGTGTGTATGTGTGTATGAGTGTGTATGTATGTATATATGTATGTATGTATGTATGCATGCATGCATGTATGTATGTATGTATGTATGTATGTATGTATGTATGTATGTGTATGTGTGTGTATGTATGTATGTATGTATGCATGCATGCATGCATGCATGTATGTATGTATGTATGTATGTATGTGTGTATGGATGTATGTATGTATGTATGTATGGATATATGTATGGATGTATGTATGGGAGAGAGCGTGATCCACCGCCGCTTTACTGTGGAAAATTGCCGCCCTTTTCCTCCGGAACCCGGGGGTCCCCCCCCCCCCTCCGAAAATCCCCCCCCCCTGCTGGAACCCCTCCCCCCCCCCCCCTTCCCCCGGCAACCCCCCTCCCCCCCCCCCCCCTCGAACTCGAAAACCGGGGGGGGTCACTACCGGTTCGAACCCCCCCCCCTCGAAAACCGGAGGGGGGGGTCACTACCGGTTCGAATCACTGAGCTGTCCCACTGTTCCCACCACTGTCCCCCCTGTCCCTACCACTGTCCCCACTGTACCTCTGTCCCATTGTCCCACCGCCGTCCTCGCCACCGCCTTCACCACTGTCCCCACCACCACTGTACCCTCCACTGTCCTACTGTTTCCACCACATTCCCACTGTCCCCACACCACTGTCCCCCCACCACCACCTGTCCCACTGTCCCCACTGTTCCCACCATTGTCCTCACCATTGTCCCCACCACTACCGTCCCCACCACTGTCCCACTGTCCCCACCACTGTCCCGCTGTCCCCTCACCACTGTCCCCACCACCACCGTCCCCACCACTGTCCGCACCCCCCCTCGGTTTTCGAGGGGGGGGGGGGGTTCGAACCGGTAGTGACCCCCCCCGGTTTTCGAGCTCGAGGGGGGGGGGTTCGAACCGGTAGTGACCCCCCCCCCTTTTCATGATGAACTGGGGGGGGGGGCAGGGGTTCGAACAGGTAGTGACCCCCCCCGGTTTTCCGGAGGGGGGGGGGAGGGGTTCGAACTGGTAGTGACCGCCCCCGGTTTTCCGCAAGCAGCGGTAGAACACGCTCTTTCATGTATGGATGTATGTATGTATGTGTGTATATGTATACATACATACGTATGTATGTATATGTATATGCATATATATATACACACGAACACACGCACACACACACACACACACACACACATATATATATATATAATATATATATATATATATATATATATATATCAGCCGGCACCCTTGCGGGGCCATCAGGTTGCGAGGCTTAGGTTTGCTGCTCCCTGCACCAGTTCCAGTTTGCAGTTTCGACTGTTACAGTATTGCTTTCTGCTTCCTACTGTAAATTGTCACTGTCCGCGCGAGGTGGGGGGAGAGCCGAAAACTATCCTGGTTAGCGTCCCCGAATCGCGTGCTCTGAATTTCTGGGGGGCCGTGGGACAAGTAAAAATACATCTGATTCGCGCTCCCGACGCAATGATTTCTAGTAAATTGCGCTGTAGTCGCGCCCCCGAGGCCAAGATCCCTTATACATTACGCTGTATTCGCGTCCCGGAAGCCACGACCCCTCGTAACATACACCATATTCACGCTCCTGAGGCCACGATCCCCCATAGACTACACTATATTCTCGTCTCTAGGGCCCCGATCCCCCGTAGATTACGCCACAGTCGCGCCCCCGAGGCTACGATCCCTCGCAAATTGCGCCACATTCGCGCCCCCGAGGCCACGATCTCCCGTAAATTACACCACATTCGCGCCCCCGAGGCCACGATCCCGAGTAAATTACGCCACTTTCGCGCCCCCGAAGCCACGATCCCTTGTAAGTCGCGTCGCATTCGCACCCCCGAGGCCACAGCTCCTACACGAGGTCCCAAGAGGCGCCCAAGACGCGCCGAAGAGGCCTTCAAGAATCTCAAAAGATACCCCACGAGGCCCCAAGAGGTCCCCAAGAGGCGCCCAAACCGTCTCCAAGAGGCCTCCGAAAGGCTCCCCACGACACCCCAACACATATACAAGAGGCCTCAGACCCACAATCCAGGCACGGTGGCGGGAAGGTCACTAGGATCCGCCGCCCTCTGTTGGCTTGCCACAGGGATGCCGGGCGTGAGAGATCCTAGACGGGTTTGGTTCTTTTAGAAAACTCCCTGGGGCTTCGGCCCGTCCCGCCGGGGTCTCGGAGAGCCGCACAAGGCCGCGCAAACGACCAGAATTTGCGCACAGATTTTTCTAAAGACGACCAAGATGGCTTTCAAGACCGCCAAAACGGGCAAAGATGGCCTCCAAGACACCTCCAAGATGGTCAAGATGGCCTTCAAGACAGCTCAGATGGTCCCAAGATGCCTCCAAGACGGCCCAAGATGGACCAAGAGGCTCCCAAGAGGCCTCCAAGACGGTCCCAGAGGCTCCCAAGAGCGGCTCCAGGAACGCCCGCAGAAATCAAAATCAATGATTTTCCTATGGTTTTGACAGATTTTGGCTTTTGCGCTTCTTCGGCATTCCGACTGCCCAAAATGGCCCCAGAGGACCCCATGGTCACCCAAGATCACACAAGATGCCTCCAAGATGGTGCTATGACGGGCCGAGAGGCTCCCAAGACGGCCCTAAGAGGGCACCAATAAGGCCCAAGAGGCGTCCAAGACGCTCGCGAAGGTCTCCAAGACGCCCCAGATGGCCTCCAAGATGCCTCCAGGACGGCCAAGATGGCACCCAAGACGGCCAAGATGGCCCCAAGATGCACCCAAAACGGCCCAAGATGGCCTCAAGATGGCCTTCGACTGCCCAAAAGGCCCGCAAGAGGCCTCCAAGACTTCCCAAGAGCCCTCCAAGACGTCCTCCAGGAAGGCCCGACAGGGCTAAAATCATTGATTCTCCAATGGTTTTTGAAAGATTTTAGCTTTTGCCCCTTTTCAGCTCTCTGACGGCCCAAGACGGCCCAAGCGGCCCTCAACATCGACCCAAGAGCGTTCAAGAGGCCTCCAAGATGGCCCCATGACAGCCGAAGGGGCCCCCAAGAGGGGCCCAATAAGGCCCCAAGACGGCCCAAGAAGCCCCCAAGACGGCCAAGATAGCCTCCAAGACGGACAAGATGGCCTATAAGATGCCTTCAAGGCGCCCAAGATGGCCGTCAAGACGGCTAAGATGGCCCGAAGATGCACCCAAGACGGCCCAAAATGGCCTCAAGATGGTCGAAGACGGCCCAAACGGCCCGCTAGAGGCCTCCAAGACGGCCCAAGAGCCCTCCAAGACGTCTTCCAAGAAGGCCCGACAGGGTTAAAATCATTACTGGTTTTTGACAGATTTTGGCATTTTCTTCTTTTCAGCTCTCCGACGGCCCAAGACAGCCCAAGAGGCCCCCAACATCGTCCCAAGAGCGCCCACAAGTCCTCCAAGGTGGCCCCATGACAACTCAAGAGGCCCCCAAGACGCCCAAGATGGCCTCCAAGACAACCAAGATGGTCTCCAAGATGCCTCCAAGACGGCCAAGACGGCCTCCAAGACAAGATGCACACAAGATGCACCAAGACGGCCCAAGATGGCCTCAAGATGGCCTTCGACTGCCCAAAAGGCCCGCCAGAGGCCTCCAAGACGGCCCAAGACCCCTCCAAGACGTCCTCCAGGAGGCCCGCAAGCTCGGAAACCACCTGGTCCGATAGCTCGCCCGACTCCGTGTTCCCCGAAGGCTTTCGAAATCCACTCGGGGAACGCGTGGCCTGATAGCTTGGCCAAGCTCAAACCCATCTTTCGGCCACGCAGGCGCTTCCAAAAAGGCAAGGGGCGGCGGTGATTCGCCGTAGGCGTCTTCGGTTCTTGAGGTTTGAGGTTCTCGGGCGGTTTCGTATGTTCTCGGCGGCTTTCCAGCCTCGGGATGGCTTCCAGCAGCTGCGTCTCGCCGAGGGCGTTCCAAGGGTGCCGGGATCGTCCCGAATGGCCGCCGGAGGCCCGAGTATATCCCGAAACCCAGGCCTGAGTTATTGGTCGGGGAGAAGCTGCCATGGGGCGCAGGAGGACATACTAGTACTGTGTGTCCTCCTCGGAGACGTGCGTCCGACATGGACACATAGTACAACCATCTTGTAGTATACCATACCCCGAGCGGTATGGCCAGACAGGTCCGAGTGACGCTGACTCAATCTCCTCCGAAGAGAAAAGAACAGGGGAGGAAACAAGGAAAGAAGATCCTGAAGGTTCTGTTGGCGTCGGCGCGGAAGATCCGGGCACCCTCAGATGACAGGGGCGTTGTGTCGTACTCAGCCAACCTGCTGGCCTCGACGCCCATGGAGGCCAGCCAGCCTCGGCGCGGCCCCAACGCATTGCAACCTCAGCGGCCAGCCTGTTCAATCTACCCTTTTGCCTTCCCTCTCCCCCAAGAAGCATCTCCCTTCTCCTCCTTCCGCTCGCGTGCCCCTCTTCCGCCTTCCCCACCGCATCCTTTTCCCCCGTCGCGTCCCCTCTTTGCCTTCGCTCAGGGAAGCCCAGAATCGAATCGATAAGTCGGATCGGCGATCGAAATGAATCGGATCGGCGGAAATCTGCAGCCAAATCGGGAGGAGACGAATCGGCGGAAATCGGCAGGCTAATAGGCCTCCATTGAGAATCGGAATCAAATCGGAATCCAAGGTCTAATCGAATGGGAATCGGAACCCATCGGAATCGAATCGAAGCGAAGCGTGGGAGTCGAACTGCGCCCTGCCGACCTTCCACCGTTCCCTCTCCTTCTCTTGATCTGCGGCTGCGTCCGAAGCCCTCGTGACTCATCCTGCCCAGGGGGGAGCAAAGGGGGCGCTGAACGGGGGGCTGGGGGAGGGGGCGCGAATGCCCCCTGTTGGGCCCTCCACCACATGAAGGGGACAGGCACGAGCAAGGGATTTAGGCTGGGACGCGGAAGCTCGGGGAGAAGCTCGAGGTTCGAGGCTCGAGGCTCTTGAGGCTTGAGGTTCTAAGGCGGTCTCGTATGTTCTCGGCGGCTTTCCAGCCTCGGGATGGCTTCCAGCAGCTGCGCCTCGCCAAAGGCGTTCCAAGGGTGCCCGGATCGTCCCGAACGGCCGCCGGAGGCCCCAGTTATATCCCGAAGCCCAGGCCCCAATTTTGGTAGGGGAGAAGCTGCCATGGGACGCAGGAGGACATACGACATGCTCGTGCTAATTAGGCGTCCTACTTAGGGACGAACGTCCGACCCGACCATATCCGCCGATCCGGCGTGTTAGTTTCTGAGAGCGTAGGCTTGAGCTCGCTCAAGCTTCGCTCTGTCGGGGGCGGGCGCTCATGCCATTCAGGCCCGGGAGGGATGAGGGGGGGAGGAGACTGACGCCACTCAGGCCCGGGAGGGAGGAGGGGGGGGAGCTGACGCCATTCAGGCCTGGGAGGGAGGAAGAGGGGGGGGGGCCTTCGCTCTTCTGTCGGGAGGGCGGGCTGACGCCATTCAGGCCAGGGGGGGGAGGGGGGGGGGGAGGGGAACTGACGCCATTCAGGCCCGGGAGGGAAGAAGGGGGGGGGGGTGGGGGGGGGAACGCTCGGGGAGGGGGGGAGGGGGCTGACGCCATTCAGGCCTGGGAGGGGGAGGGGGGGGGGGAGCTGACGCCTTTCAGGCCCGGGAGGGAGGAAGGGGGGGGGGGAACGCCATGGGGAGAAGCGGGGGTGGGGTGGGGTGGGGGCTGACGCCATTCAGGCCCGAAAGGGAGGAGGCGGGTGGGGGGGACGCCATTCAGGCCCGGGAGAGAGGAGGGGGAGGGGGATTCGCTCTGTCGGGGGGGGGGCGGCTGACGCCATTCAGACCCCGGGAAGGAGGAAAGAAGGGGGGGCCGGCGCCATTCCAGGCCCGGTAGGGAGGAGAGGGGGGGGGGGGGAACGCCATGCGGAGGAGGGGGAGAGGGCTGACTCCCATGGCTGACGCCATTCAGGCCCCGGAGGGAAGTTCGGGGGGGAGGGAGGGAGGAGAGGGGGCAACGTCATGGCTAACGCCATTCGGGCCTCTGGGATGAGATGTCGGGGGGGAGGGGGGGGGGGGGGGGCTGACGCCATGGCTGACGCCATTCGGGCCCGGGGAGGAGGGAAGGTGTGAAGGGCTCGCTCAAAGCTTCGCTCTGTCGGGGTCCGGGGGGGGAGGGCTGACGCCATAGCTACGCCATCCCCGGATGGGAAGAGGGGGGGGGGGAAGGCTGAGCTGACGATGGCTGACGCCATTCAGACGCCGGAGGGGGGGGGGGGGGGGTGGGGCTCGCTCAAGCTTCGCTCTGCCGGGGGGGGGGGGGGGGGGGGGGGGCGGCTGACGCCATAGCTGACGCCATTCAGGCCCGCGAAGGAGGAGTCGGGGAGAGGGGGGGGAGGGCTGACGCCATGGCTGACGCCATTCAGGCCCGGGAGGGGGGACAGGGGAGCTCGCTCAAGCTTCACTCTGTCGAGAAGGGGGGGGGGGCTGACGCCATGGCTGACGCCATTCAGGCTCGGGAAGGGGGGGGGGGAAAGCCGACGCCATGGCGGACGCCATTCACGCCCGGGACGGGGAAGTCGGGGGGGGCGGGGGCTGACGCCATGGCTGACGCCATTCAGTTCTGGAAGGTGGGATGGGGGATATCCCATGAGTTTGGCTGTTCACGCGAGATCGTCACTTTCGAATATCCGAACCTTGCCCAAGCAAGTTCAACATCTCTATCTTATGAGGATGTCTCGAGGGAGCGCTCTACTTTTAAACATAAAACGTCGTCCGTTGCAAACAGAATCGGTAGCACCCCGGATCGGCGGCACCGGCCGGAGGCCACAACAACAGTACAAACATCTTCCAGTACATCGTTTCCCGAGCGGTGCGGCCAGAAAGCGCCCGCCACCGAGCATATGCTAGAAGATCTCTCGGCGCGCGCGTCGCCCCCTGAGGGGCGACGCGCGCACAGTATTTGTATGAGCGGGCGACGCCGATGAGGGCACAAGCCTGAGCAGTGGATCTGGGTCGCCACATCACCTGGCTGAGGCGCACGGGAACTGTGGCTCGGCCGTTCTGGAAACAACGCCTTGTCCAGTACACAGGGGCAACGATTTAGCTGCAATGGCCAAGGCAACGATAGCAATGAGAATCAACCGCCGTGACGCAGGCATCTAACGGTGCGTCCTCACATTTTCAAGAATCCCATGTCGGATTTTGGGGGGCGGTTCAAGAGTGATCTCAACGACGAAAACTGTTTCGGCTTGTGTCGTGCGCGCGGGCGAGGCCATTATGTGGTAACCATCTTGTTGGCTCTTGGAGATTGTCGCTAATCGACGCTAATCGACGCTAGGCGGCGCTAGATCGACGGTAATCGACGCTACCTCAGCGCTTACCCATCGAACACCTGATGCGAATCGACGCTAATGAACTCTGGAGACGGAATTGCGAGGGCACACGAGGTTCCCATGCGTTTACGTGGCGATATTCGAACCCTACCCCCACCAACCATCGATTCTCCTGAATCGATGGGAAGCGGGTGCAGGGCTTGGACTTCGCCGCCGTGCTCGACGAGTTCCGAACCCTACCCCCCGCCCCGCGGCTCCCATAATTTGCTGCCGAAGACTAAAGCGTGCGTGCCCCTGTTTGGGCAACAAAGCGCTCGCGTGCACGAGGAGGGCCAGAGAACCAGCCAAATAAGGACTCCTCCGAACCCATACTGGCCCTCAGATCAACGTCTTGACTGTGTACAAGGCTCCCATGAGATGCCACCGAAAAGCCCATGTGCGCGGGGACGATGGTGCGTCGCCGCAGATGGGGCCACAAGCCGGAAAAAGAAAAACGCCCTGCTCATGCCCGTCTCGCGGGGTGCCGCGCGGGATCGTCCTGTGGGCTGTCCCATCATTGTCCCGTGGGTTGACCCGCAGTCATCCCGTGAGTAATCCTCTAGAGGATAAGGCACCGGTCCTGGGCCCAGGATGGGCCTGGCCAGGACCGGTGTATGTACAATGTACGTAGCTCCCGCCGCGCGAATCACGCGAGCTGTCCCGCGGGTTGTTCAGGAGCCAATAACGGGGGCAAAGTCAATGAGAAAGTCGACACGGAACGTCTCGGTCGCGCTGGAAGTCTTGGTCGTGCTCGTCCGCCTCCCCTCCGTCGTCCGCACTGCAGGATGGCGCTGATGCTTGAGCCGCCGTGGCAGCATGCGCGCGGGCCAGCGCGATGCCCTACCCAAGGTTGTCCTGTGGGTGTCCCGTGGGATGTCCCGAAATTGACATTCGGGAAATGCACACCGAGATGCAATGCCAATTGCAGATAGCTAGATCGGTAGCGCTGTCGATGGATAGATCGTCAGTCACGCGGGTGCATAAATGCACAGTTCGTCTGCACGTCGTATAGATGTTATGTGTCTGCACATGTTTTTTGGCCTAGATTGAGGGCTACACATATTCAATCCGACGGGTACTTCGATACATCGCTGGTAGGTAGTCGAAGGTAGCTTCTGCTCACGCGGTATTCGACAGCCTCTTGAGAGCCAACAGGCTGCGAGGTGGAAATTCCCTGCTCCCTGCAACGACTCCCATTTCCAAGGTCATAGCTTAGATTTCGAGCTCCAATGCTAGAGATGGAAGGACGTGCGACGACCCTGGACCCCCAAAAACACCTGGCTTTCCTCCCCAAAAGTCCGCCGACACCCGCTTGCCAGGGGTGCATAGGCGTGTCCCCCTCCCCCCTTCGAGAGCGCGCCGTTCGCGCGAAAACAGTTCGCGCGAAATCCGCGGCCGTTCCAGCGAAATCGTTTCGGCGCGTGCGCGCGAAAAGGGATGAAGGGGTGAAGCGCTGTGGATTCCTCACTGATCCTCATCCTGATCCCCTCTTTTCAGATATCCCCCTCTTCCTCCCTTTCCTCCCTTTCCTCCTCCTCCTCCTCCTCCTCTTCCTCCTCCTCCTCCTCCACCTCCTCCTCCTCCGCCTCCGCCTCCGCCTCCTCCTCTCCTCCTCCTCCGCTCCTCCTCTCCTCCTCCGCCTCCGCTCCGCCTCCGCGCCTCCTCCTCCTCCTCCTCCTCCTCCTCCTCCTCCTTCGCCTCCTCCTCCTCCTCCTCCTCCTCCGCCTCCTCGAGCACGCAGCGTGGGGCACAGGAGCCGCGGCTCGGCTACTCCCTCGCCCCGCGACTAGCAGGAACTGTGATTCCTGCGCAGCGCAAGCAGGACAAAATGTCCACGCCCATGGGCCCAACAACTGGCGGGGACCGGGATTTCCACACGTTCCGGACAGGAATATCAAAAATCCCGGTTCCCGCCATCCGC